AACTGCCGCAAGCAGGATGAAGGAAAAAAGATTATATCATTATCTTTTTACACAAATTGGTGGTAAAGCATGAAAAGCATCTCTGTTAGTGAAAGATTAAAATCGGGTTGAATAGTGAGTAATGACAGCTGAATATTTTGAACAAATTAATAAAATACTCCGTATATGGAATGCTAAGTTCTTCCTTTCCTGATCAACAGGCAATTAGAGAACAGTTAGTGCAGCTGATGTTTGAAACATTTAACATCTCAGGGTTTTATGCCTCTGAGCAAGCAGTGCTGTCTCTCTATGCTGTTGGGCGGATATCAGGATGCACCGTTGACATTGGTCATGGAAAAATAGGTATTAGTATTTGTTAACTAGTCATCATTCTCTTGGCATGTAAGAAAAGACCATCATCAAGGATTTATAATACTGGAGGTTTTTAGTATTGTGGGTAACTAATCTTATTTTCTAAGTCAAGGCATATTCTTCTCAGATAATTGAGTCAGTATTCAATCCGCCTTTCATGTTATCATTTTTTGCACTTCTTATAAATAAATTAAATAAATGTTTAAGCCTTGAAGGAGGTTCATAGGACAGTATTAGTTCAATGTAATTTTTGTTCTCCTTCAGATATTATGCATAATATGATATTTATTTGTCCAAAAATCCAAATTGCACAAGCCTAGGAAAATAGTCAAAAAAGGACCATTGAACCCCTTTTAGAAAGGTTCTAAAACTGTAACTAAGACCGGATGAAGTATGACACAACAACAGCCTGAATGCCAATTTTGGAGCAAAACATATGCTTCTTTAGTTGTAGCTCATATGTGACTATGTTAATGTTGCCAAGGATATCCACTTAGCACATCAGGCAGCTTATATGTGACTATGTTGTTGTTATTGGAGGTCCCTGTACTGAGATAACAATGAACAGACTTTCAAGCATCTCAACTTTTAGGAAACCTTCTCTGCACCCACAAGATAAGAGGAGATGTGAAAAGGGGGGCTTTTGTAGTACTTGAAGTTACATAGCGCTTACTACGGCTTTTCATTTTTTTTATTACAAATAATTTATTCAAATAATGTAAATCTATAAATCCTAGATATCAGGACAACCCTATGTAGTGTTGGCAATTTTGCATAAATGACTGTGAAGAAAGAATACCACAAACCTAAGGAATCAGAGATAGCATACTTCTAGGGCCCCATTGAATTCTCAAAAGCGCATCATTTGAAATGAGATGATTTTGGATAATATAGTGTAAATCCCTCTTACTGGTTTGCTGGCTTGTAGTGTAAAACGTTTTGTTAGATATAACAATAATTTAGCCTTTGAAGTTCATCAAGTTCAATAATGTCGGGCCCAGCTGAGTCAGACTTGAAGATCTTGCAAGTTGACTCACATTTTGCGTGTTTTCTTTATACATATGGCCAACCTCAACTAGATTTCGAATTGGGATTGGAGTTTAGTTGGGGTTAGGATAATGGCTATGTGAGGTGTCATCAAGTTTGTTCTTGGACTGACTTGTTATATACTTATATATTCTTTCTACGCTTGTCATTTTTTCCAGATATCGCACCAGTAATTGAAGGTGCTGTTCAGCACCTAGCTTCCAGAAGGTTGGAACTTGGTGGTGCAGATCTGACTCAGCTGCTGGCAGATAAGCTTATTATATCTAATCCAATGGTGAAACTGAAGATTTCAGATGTTGAGAAGATAAAAGAACAATATGCATGCTGTGCTGAGGATGATATTGCTTATGATAAGATGCAACAATCTATTCTGGAAGAGGAACACATACTGCCTGATGGCCAGGTGCCCTTTTTTCCTTCTGCTTTAATGCAAGGAATTTAATTCTTCTCATAGATCCCAACGAATTCTGCTTTTGAAAATCAACCAATTGGTGACAAGAGACAACTTTTTTCTTATGATTTATGGGTTTAAAGTTTGCCAAGTAGTCCTTACAAGGTCTGGTGAAGTTGACAATTCCACCTATCATCTATAGAGCTTTCATAGGTGCCTGATTGCTAGGTGCCCTTTTTGCCTATATATACACCTTTATATAGCTTTCATTGCTATGACTATCATTTCTTTTTGCCTTTTCCATTGCTCTGTAAATATACCCCGTGATTGGTTTTGTATCATCATCTTCGAACCAAAGAACTTGAACAGTAAGACTAATTCAAAAACTACTGCATGAAGAAACTCTATTTATTCGCCTCAAAGGATGCTGTCTAAAATGTCCAAACTCTATTTATTCGCCTCATAGGATGCTGTCTTCTTTTAGTTCGTTCCATCACCAGACGATTTTGAATATATATTGTTCATATCTTTTAATAAATAAATAAATTAAATAAATAAATAATGCTTTTGGCTCATGCTCTTGCCCTTCAGCTTGCTCTCATATTATTCATTTCTTTTGTGTAGGCTAAAGAAAGTTCTTTATATATTGTATTTTAGGTTATAAAAGTTGGGAAAGAAAGATATACTGTTGGGGAGGCTTTTTTCCAGCCCTCCATATTGGGTTTAGGAACACATGGAATTGTCGAGCAACTCGTCCATAGTATCTCAACTGTATCTTCTGAGAATCACCGCCAACTGCTTGAAAACACTGTGCTTTGTGGGGGCACTGTTTCAATGACTGGTTGGTTCCCATCTTCACTCAATGCACACTTGTTTATTTAAGTCATCACTTCGTTAGATGGCTTCCTTTTTACAAAAGCAACATTTCCTTTTTGCAATACTCACTCGCTTTGGGTTTTATTCATCCGATCTTCTTTTTAAGGCATAAATCCACCTCTGCCCTCACCCCCACTTTAAAAATGTGCTTTTAATCAGGGATATCTATACTTTATCCCTGATTGCATTTGGAACCCTCTGCTCAGTTAACTCAGTCATTGCATGTGTCATTTTGTAATCAGGATGCTAACCAATGCAGGGTTTGAAGATCGATTCCAGAGAGAAGCAAACTTATGCTCATCTGCTATCAGCCCTTCTTTAGTAAAGGTAGTGTAGTGGTATTATAATGCGTTGTAACCTTAAGTTATTTTACAGTGCTTTTCCATAGCTGGTGATCTGTTCAGTTTTCAAAATAGTTAAAGCTGCAAATTTTTTAAAGCAAGTGTGGGTGTTGCTATTTATGTACATTCATTCATATGGAAAATGATAGTTAGGGGGTGTTTGGATCTGCTTCTGGTCCTTGAGAGAATAGAAGCAGATATTGGAGAGTTTGGGTGGAAGCGCAGAAGTGCTTCTAAGTGCTCCAAATTACAGGAGCAATTTTTCAGAAAGAGATTGATCAGCTTCTGAAAAACTGATTTTGATTCTACTTCTGCTTTTAAAAAGAAGCAGAAGTAGAATCAATTTCAAACACCCCCTTACTCTCCCTAGTAAAGAAACTCACATCATATGGTTGATCGGGTTGGCTATAAAATAAGCAGCCTGTAGTTGATTGGATAGCCAATTACAGGTACGTCAGATGAGATTTTTAATGATGATGGATTGACTTCATTATTACTACTCATCTTGGAGATGCTCTTAGATGTTTCCTTATTTTCCCCGTGGGACATTATGTGAGCAGCTTTTAAAGATATTATTCTTATCATTGTTATTATATAGTGGGTGATGAGCTTAAGTTTCTGTTGTTACAGCCACCAGAGTACATGCCAGAGAATTTGAATATGTACTCAGCATGGGTCGGTGGTGCCATACTTGCTAAAGTTGTCTTCCCACAAAACCAACACATCACCAAGGCAGACTATGATGAAAGTGGACCTTCTATTGTTCACAAAAAATGTTTCTAGGGATTATGTATTTATACACACATATATTTAATATCACCTAATTTGTTTGTTTGCATTATTGGTCTATTTTAAGTCTTTGTAGTGTAGTTGGTTGTATCATTTAAAGGACATGTAATCTTGATCAATTTAGCGTGAGGACTATGTATAATTTCTTTTCTTCTTATGCTTTCAATGTTGTAGGCTTGTAGCAACACTAATTTCAAAATGAGGTGCACACGGTTTGTATTCTATAGAGGAATCTTAAATCTTAGGTTCTAGAACCAATACAGCAAGATTTATGTATAAGGTTCAGGTTCTATCAAACGGAGGACGGGAGGACCAGAACAGATTTAGGTTCTAGTCGCGTAAAAAACCCGCTTTGAGATTGTAGTGTGAAATGAGGTTCAAATGGGAGCTCACACGGGAACAGACTGCTGAAAATTATGGACATAGTCCAAGGCTTGGATTGGGTGATTTATATAATTATATCCAAGACCGCTGAAAATTATGGACATCTGCTTGTGTGCCATTATTTATTTAAGCATAGTGGTGGACCCGGTCCAGTCCGACCGGCCCGGCCCGTTACTATGCGAGCCCGGACCGGACCGGATGACCGGTCCCAGTACCGGGCCTAGGCTGCACAGTAACGGGCGGTTCCGGGATGCCCAAATGTTGAACCGGCCCGGCTCCATTTGGGCCTGTTTTTTTTTTTTTTGGATTTGGGTTGGGTTTAGATGGGTTGGGCTGGGTGATTTCGAGGGGTTTGGGGGGGTAGGCATTGAAATAAATAATAAAAAAAATTAACCGGAACCGGTAGCCTACTGTGCCGGTTCCGGGCTTCACTCTAGCACCTCCAGGCCGGAATCGGACCGGACCCGGTCCATGACTATTTAAGCAAATTGAGTTAGTAGACCAAGGAAACCGGTCTTGATTTGCCACCTTAAAAAAAAGACGCCACCATTGAGGACCTCCACAACTGACGGAACAATTATGTGAGAGGAAGTAAGTTGAGCTTTAATCGCATTCTGATGAAAAGAGCGCAGTTTCATGCCAAATCATTGCTTAGAGTTGAACTCGAGACCCCTGGTAATTTGACTCCTTCAAAATAACATCGGATGGTAACAAGATCATATACTAATTATATTAGAAAAATAGACTACAACTATAAGACTCAGAAAAATAGACTACGAACCGGAACCGGCCATTGCCCGGGCCGGTCCCGGGCCTTCCTTTACCAGACCCGAGGCCTGACCGGGCCTTGGTCCGGCCCGGGTCCATCACTAGTATAAAGCAGTGTTTGCGGTTGTTCAAAAAAAGCGCTTTTCAGCTTTTGGCTTAAAAAAAGCTAAAAATAGTGTTTTCAAATGACAGCTTCTGCTTAAATTAATCACTTAAAAGCTAAAAGCTGGAAGCAGGTGGAAGGGTGCTTTAAACTGCTTTTCACTTTTTCTATTACACAAAAAGTACTTATTTTACCAAACATTACCAACTTTTACTTTTTCAGAATCACTTTTTTCTCAAACACTACCAACTTTTACTATTAATCATTTTTCCCAAAATCACTTTAAAAAATCACTTTTTTAAAGTTGAAGCAATTGCAAACACTCCCTAAGTAAGTACCCTCAATGGATTTAAATCTCCGGGGTGTCAAGAGTTTTCTATCTGCAACAAGTTCGGATAAGTCACCATAACAATTTTGTTTAAATGAAACCTAAAATATTTTGGTAAAAAAAGTACAAATGACTATAATTTTAAAAATCACACATTTGGATGTAACAAATAGATAAATGATTACGCTTTTACTTACTTTTTAATTCGATCTAAAACTGGTCAGTCCTGAAATGGATCTGGTTCGTCACAAGGGGGCGTTCTTTTTTTTTTTTTTTTTTGTAATTTTTGAGTTAACTACGAAAGTGATAGCTAGAAGTTTCAGATGCGTTTTTAGGGACTGGCTCAATTTCAACTATTTAGGCCCTTGTTGAAATTTTCCACTTGGTCACAATATGGTCTACTGCACTACAAGAAAACAATGCTGACTGGTTGATCATCTAACCAGCTAAGGTAGACCGATAAAAATATTATATAATTATCCTATTCTTGACCAAGTATATGATCGATGGCGCTTGTTTAATAATACCATTTGTTAAATAGAAAAGTGTAACGGTCTACCCCATTTCACATTCAACTGATTTTAATACCATAAGAAACTTTATGAGTGGTGTCACGGTTTAACTTTATATGTATTTAGATAGAAATAATGTGAAATTTCAAAAAAAAAATAAGCACTTAATAATTCCCCAATAGGGTAAATTACTTCCATTCAAAGTCAACTATATGCAAAATTTGATAATATTTTTCAAACATGATACTAATTATTGATATTTAGAGAAAAAAATTATAATATTCCTATTTTGGAATTGGATAATTTTTTATTTATGTATTTATGTATACGAGTAATTAAGTGCGTGAAAACATTTGCATCTCAAGTCAAGCATATGCAAATGTTTCACATTTTTAATTGTTGTTTGCATTTTCATCACTCTCGTCGCCCATCACGACCACTACCATTTCCTTGAACGCGAGATCCCTCCCAGTGAATTAAGTTCCCAATTTGGACAGTTTTTACATGCATTCGTATTTTTCGCCGTCCTCATTCCCGTGCATGGGATGGGGAGTTTTTCTTCTTCTCCTTTATTCTTGATCGTCATTGTCCTCCTCTTATCCTCAAAACTTTCCCTTTGCGGTCCTCTTTCATTCCATTCTATAACCCCTAACTTCTCCGCTTCCTTCACCAAATTCATTGATACTTCCGGCGCATTCTTGTCCTCGGCTGACGCTACATTCAGTGCCGCCGTAGCCAACGTCAGACCGGAGGAACGCTCCTTCTACTTCGTCATCTTCCATACCATTTCTCATACCGTCGTTTGGGCCGCCAACCGCAACTTTCCAGTCTCCGACTCTGCTGAACTCCATCTCTCCCACCGTGGCCTTGCACTTTATGATGATTCCGGCAGACCTATCTGGTCAACTCCCTTGTTTACTTCGCCCAATGTCTCCTCTTTACAACTCCAAGATTCTGGGAATTTGGTTCTACTTGATTCGTCAAATAACTCTGTATGGGAAAGCTTTGATTACCCGACTGACACGATGGTGGTTGGTCAACGGTTGCTCGTCGGGAGATCTTTGGTCAGCTCGTTGAAGGATGGTGACCTGTCGTCAGTGGGGGACTATGAATTCTCCATCACAGAGAACGACGCCGTGTTTCTCTGGAGGAAGATGGTTTACTGGAAATTATCCATGTACGGCGGCGCCTTTCGAGACACAAACACACGTGCGGAATACGCAGAGCTAAGGAGAAACGGGATTTTCCTCGTGGGATCAAACGGAACAGAGATCGTAATACAAGTTACTCTCATAAACTCTCCTACTGATTTCATGATCCTGAAGATGGGAAGCAATGGCGCCCTGAGCACCATGCTGTTGAACGGCGCAGGAAGTGAAGTCGGCGGATTCAACGCACCGGTGGATCCTTGTTGGGCACCATTCATTTGCCAGAGCCTAGGAGTCTGCAATAGCGGCATGTGTTCTTGCCTGCCTGGATTTCATAGTTATTCCACGTCAGACGGTGGTTGCGTCCCCTTAAACGGCAGGCTACCATTGCCGGGGAACTCTTCTTCATGTACGAGTTCGAATGGAAGTATTATTTCCACCATCTCGTATTTAAAACTGGGAAGCGGCATGGACTACTTCACTAACGAATTCATTCACCCGCTGGAGCTTGATACGAATCTGTCCACCTGTGAAGATATCTGTTCGATGAACTGTTCTTGCTTAGGATTTTTTCACAGCCAATCTTCAGGATCTTGCTACATGGTTCGAGATTACCTAGGTTCAGTAAAGAAGAAAGTAACCAAACATCTCATTCCTGCTCTTCCGAGCTTCTCGGATATGCTACAATCCCAGGGATGCCAGTGAAATTAGATTACAAACATCTCACAGATGCAACGGACAATTTCGGGTCACAAATCGGTTCAGGTGGATTTGGGACGGTATACAAAGGCAGTCTTCCAGACGGAACAGCGGTGGCAGTGAAGAAAATGAACCGACTGGGAGTACAAGGGAAGAGGGAGTTCTGCAGTGAGATCACGACCATAGGGAAAATCCATCACATCAATCTGGTGAGACTCAAGGGATTCTGCATACACAGAGATTCAAGATTTCTAGTCTACGAGTATATGAACCGGAGTTCGCTGGATCGAGCACTGTTCGGCAGGAATGGAGGGGTCCCGCTCCCAAACGTGTTGAAATGGAAGGAAAGGGTTGAGATTGCCATCGGAACCGCACGTGGCCTGGCTTACTTGCACAGTGGGTGTGAACCCAAGATCATTCATTGTGATGTCAAGCCGGAAAACATCCTCCTTCACTACCACAACTGCTTGCAAGTTAAGATATCAGATTTTGGGCTGTCCAAGCTGATGTCTTCAGAGCAATCTAGCTGGTTCACCACATTGAGAGGGACTAGAGGGTATTTAGCTCCTGAGTGGCTGACAAACTCCTCCATCACAGAGAAGACGGATGTGTATAGCTACGGGATGGTGTTGCTGGAACTTGTGAGCGGCAAGAAGAATTGTAGGGGTGAGGAGGAAGTTCGGTGGGATTATTTCCCCCTACTTGTCCTGGAGATGCATGAGGAAGAGAGGTATTATTAAATACAAGTAATAAAGTGAAGAGTAATCCATAGACATATATATGTATTTTGAGAACTTAACTTCCTCACAAGGGATACTAGAGGTTCCAGGAAGGAGGTTATCTAAGATGATGAATTATATCTGAAATTCCTGAAATCCTAAGTTCTTGTCTTAGAATAGTAAATAAAGGAAATGAACCAAGCACTAAACCTGGAAAAAACTCTGTCGTTCACTAACTAGAGTAAGTGAGCCACCGAGTCAATGAAACACAGCAACATAGCCACCTTTTCCTTATGGATGGGAAGAGTAGTAATTACTTAATGTTCTATGATTCGTTCTAATTGCATTTGTAAAAGGATGATATATGTTTGTTGCAATATGATATTTCCCAATAACGGAGTACTTCTTGATGAGACTTTTGATGTACAAAGTCATAATGATTTCTAGAGACTAATACATATCAATCTCTACAGATTAATTCAGTGGTTGTTACATAGAAACCAACAGATTAATTTTGAAGGACTAGTCCCTAGTCTTGTTTTTTCTACCAATAATTTGACTGCTACAGCTAAGATATTTTAAACAGGTACCTGGAGCTGGTAGATCCGCGGCTGGCAGGGGAGGTACAGACCGAGGAAGTGGAGAAACTGGTCAGGGTGGCTCTCTGCTGTTTACACGAAGATCCAGCTCTGCGGCCGACAATGACAAATGTGGTTGGAATGCTAGAAGGAGGGCTACCTCTGGGTGATCCTCAGGTGGGATCCCTCAACTTCTTGCGCTTCTATGGCAGGAGGTTCACCGAAACATCTCAGGTGGAGGGTAATGAGCAGAATATGGTATATCTCTATCAGCGCGAAATCGCAAATGTTGGCAGCAGTGATACCTGTAGTTTTTACAAGTCCTCTTTCAAGTCTTCTCATCAACTCTCTGGCCCTAGATGATAATAACAGGCACCTCATACTCTTCCTCCTGTATTAAATCTTTATAATAACATGCCTTCTGCAATTGCATATGTTATACACAGTTCTGCCATTGAAATTTTGCTTAAAAAGTTTGTAATGTTTTGTATATTGTATTGAATCATATGGCACATCAGACTTTTCACTGTTTCTATTACAAGAAGTTGGATAATCCATTTCCTATATATAATACCCTACAGAGCAGTAGGACTGAACAATGGAATGTTGTTTATCTACAAACAAAAAATTGGAACTTTTGTCTACCTACAGGACCACCAACGCAATTGTATCTATCTAGTATCTACAGTTTGTTGTGTGATACTGTGATGGCATTAGTTTTTTGTAATTTTCAATACTGTCCTTTTTCTTTTATACGAGGCTGCACAAAGTGTTATAGAAACTACAAAGATCCGATAAGTTTGCAGGTCAAGTGGTAGTTACTGCACCAAAGATATTTTGACATGACTCCCAGTTTCCATGCTCTCTCGCCTCCCAATATCCACCATTGTACCTGTATCCATCACTGTCTGATGCTTTTGAAAACCACTTAGGTTTCCATCCACTTTTTTGCATCATGACCGCCTGCATTCTCACACAACAGTTTTGTAACTAAGCTGAAGACTATCTCCTCTTTCTATTTTACTTTTTAAAATGAGATTACAATTCAATAACATTATCCAGCCTTAAAGTTATTTAATTTGTCATTTGTAACTGAATGTAAAAGAAATACTTCTTTTGACATGACTTTAATAAGAAGGAATATTGGATTACCTGGCGCTGCCTCTGTTCCAAACGTAACTTTTCTGCGTTAGCCATTTGGTACTGGCCATTTTCCAGAAATCTTTGATCAGGCCTGAGCCTTGAATCTGTTGGTGGCAATTTCTCCTGTTTATATTTTAGGAGATCACTAATTAGTTGCAGCAATGTGTTCTGCAGTAGTATCTTATAAACTCTGCATTAGGTGGTATTATGTAGTACTGTTTAGTGCATATGATAATACTCATGGTTTACCTACCTTTAGCTCAGTAGTCAGTTCATTAAGAGTGATTGCGAAGTCCGTGAAGTTGTATTTGCTTTTAAATTTTGATGGTTTGTTTCTTTTCCACAACAAATGCGCATCTGACATTGAAGCCGGTCCTTTGTCTTTCCCTAAATAATCCTCCTGGCAGTAATGAATGCACTGATCCCATTTCCCGAACAGCGTTGCTGCTGGCTTTCCATTATTTTCTACAACTCCATGTACCTTTATATATATAAAAGTTACCAGAAATGTAATAGAAGACACACTATGAATGGAGGCGCTGAAGTTTTAACTAGAAACGAAGAAGATACTGATATGATTGATTCTGAAACTGCCAAATTAAGAGCTTTTGGAGAATGGCCATACACATATATTGAAGCAACATTTTCCTTTCTTTTTGAGAGTGAAAAGAAAGTATAGACCAAATTCCCATCATTTATGACATCATTTCCTTTTTGAAAGAAGACAGAAGAGAGATTGCCAAGAATGAGCAATACAAGAAAGAAAAAATATCATTGTACCTGGTGAGGATTTCGATCGATGAGAGAACGCTCCTTAAATTTAAGCTTGCAGGAGTAGTTTCGATTTCCTTGGATATTCATGGTTCCATAATGATCACAGTAGACTTTTCCAAGAATGAGGTTGTATATAGAAGTTGTAACCTGAGAGAGAAAGACCAAAATTTTATCAGGCAAAGCAAGAACTACATGAAAATGATGTTTAGTGACATCGAGATACCTTTCTCCACTTGAATACTTCTCCATCATCAAACTCCAATGTAATTACACCAACAGGGTCAATCTGAATGGATCTACCCCAAAACTTACTCTTCAGGTTGCAATCTGCCCATATTTTCCATCCACGTCCTTCACAGTGGAATGCAAGGATCATTGGATGATGACTAACCTATGTTTTAGGGAAAGAGAGTCTTCAAGGTTTTTAAGAAAATGAAAATGCAAAAATGAATGGAATAAAATGATCCCATGTTTTCTCTTTCTTGTCTCCTTTTCTTTTTCTTTCATTTTTTCAGGAACCCAGTCAACAGAAATAAGACACCACTGTTTAAGTGCTTACAATTAATGAATTGTCCGATAAAAGAAAGAGAATAAGATGAAAATAATAATACTAACAGGATTACTTCCACTCTCTCTTAGAGACTAATGTTTTCTCCTTTCTATATCAAATTTCATCTTGCATGAGGGAGGATATTTTATTATTGGTGTGGTCGTCGTTGTCGATTAGTCGTTATTATCACTATCATTAACATAATTATCATTGTTATTAATATTATCATTATTGTTATTATTACTTTTGTTGTTGTTTTTATCATCATCATCATCATCAATTTATCATCATAACTATTATTACTATATATGTACATTGGAAGGCATGAAATCTTATTTTATAATTACTGTATATTTGAAATAAAATGTAGAGCTTGTATTTTATCCTGACTCTCTATGTTAACTCGTTCTCTTATCAAGTCGAACCTTCAAATAGACAGATACACAAGTACTGTTTCTCCCAAATATATCAATTTCTTATCTGCTCCTATTCTGCCAGACTCAAAGTCTGCGTCCAATAGTTTGGAGAAATAAGTCCCAATAGTATGTAAATCCACTATCACAAATCGAAGAATAATGACACTAAAACGATAGATCCATGGAGGATGACAAGGATGCGAAAATAACCCGAATAAGCAATACCAAAAGAATTTCCATTGTGGAAACCATTACCTTTTCTGAGATGAACCGTAAACCCTTGTCTTGGTAATCAGCTTCAAAGGTTTCACCAAGTAAAGGATTAAATGGCTTGCATTGTCTTTCATCAGTGGAAGCGTATCCAGATGCAGCAAATGCTGCTACTTTAAGCATCCTCATAAAGCTATTACCCTGCAATGGTAAAAATGGGTATGATTTCACACTAAAAAACTATTGAGTAGTACTACGTATGTATTATATTAATATGTTCTGCAAGAAGAAAGTACATGTATACAGAATTCTAATATACATTTGATCATAGTCTTTTTCACGCTAAGACAAGAAAGAGAGTGTCTTAGACATCAATCTCATCTCTACAGAACATTAAAGAACCTCTTGTGCTTATTTTTTTCTCCTTCAATTTGATAGCAGTGATGGTGAGATGGTGCGCCCAGGTGATGTTCTGTTTCAGCAGGTGTGTGTAGCCGCACCCACTTCTTTAGTAGTTATTTACTAGTCCTTTTATAAAATCTGATTAACTTATTAACTAGCAATTGTATTCTTATTGCAAAATCATGAATGCAATAAATTAGGAGGTGCATTTAAGGGTGCAAAACCAGATCTCTGAGGCTCGATTTCATACTTAAACATATACGCAGTATATGTAACTCTTCCTTGAAACGCACCGATATGGACATATGGGAATATGACAGAATTAAATGTTAGTAACCTAGGGAAAGTAGTTCACTCCTAAAAATAAATACAAGTGTGGAAAAGGAAACTTTCTCATACAGGTCTGGTCTGATATGTCTCACAGAGGTCTACTCAGATGGTCTAATGCATAAAGATAATCATTGTGGTAAGACTAGAGTGGTATTTCAAGAGAGAAGAATTAGCAGCATCCAAATTAGTTCAGCAAATGATATTCCTAAAAATAGGAATGTATTTAGGCAAGTTTCCACATGTGCGAAACTACAAAAGGCTATAGTACTTGAAGTTCTAAAACATGATATCTGTACTAATCAAAAGGCACTGCCCATGGAACTTCCAAGTAATCCAAAAAACAAGGGCAAAGAAAAAGTGTGGAACGAAAAGGTAACCAGAGCAGAAAATAACCTTAGTTTCAAGAACAAACTTCTTCATTTAAAAAGAATTTGTTGGATAGCTATTCTCAAATGAACTTACCCCTTTTCCTGATTCATATGCTTGATCGAGAAGGTAAGAGTATTCAAAATCTTCAAAACATTTCTGCAGGGAAGATAGTGGTTCATTGAAATATACTGGAAGGCAGACTTTAGTTAGATCCTTCCCAATGTTATCTTTGATCATTGACCACAGGCTTGCTCCCTTCTCTTCTTCGAGTGGGTCCGGCAATTTATTTCTGCGCTTCACATAAGGATATTTGTTTTCAACTGATATTGTATTTTGAGACGGATGACTCCCTTCATCATCAGAATCAGATAATGGTTTTCTATCACCCCTCCCTTGTTTTCTGAATGAATTTGAAGAAAGAAAATCTCGAGCATCAGCAAACATGTCTTCATCATCATCACCATCACTATCTTCATCCGCAACATGATGTCTATCATTGTCATCATCTGATTCATTCACGCTTCCTTCTGAAACTGTCACATAACCAAGAACAAAAGAGATTGGTTAGAACATCCTACCAAATGGTTACACGGCACACAGCCACACACACATATATGGAAGCACATTGACATAAACATTTATTGGTGGCACATAAAGATATTTTCAAACCCAAAGTGAGTGTGGTGCATAAAGCTAAAGGAAGATAAAATATTTTATCATGTTAAATTCAGCAACTAAAAATACAACTTCATAATATGGGAAGAGTGTGAAAGGTCAAATTATACTCATTTTGATGGTTAGTGGGGATATAAGTAATACATTGAAATAATGGTTTTAGATGGATAGTCGAAATGGTGATTTTAATTCAATTTCTTTTCTTAGGAGGCACTAACATTCCAATTTTATTTTTTGGAACATTCTCAATAACTCACTTTGTTTTGATCCTTGGAAATGGAGGACCTTGTGTCTTTTGGGTAGCGCTTGTCTATACTTTACAGAATTCACTTGTGCATCTGATTTTTGCATCTTAGTCTAGAACTCGGTTGGTATCTTGGCTATTCATTTACTCATTTCCAACTCAACTTCTAGTTGCAACAGCCCTTTCCACATCTGTGTAGCTACTGAGCATCAGCAACTGAGTTACACTCTGAGCTAAAAGCTCTTGGATGTTTTTTCAAACACATAATGTGCAATATAATTCCTCTCAAAATAATAATGTGCAATATAAATGAACAGTTGACAGTTGCAAAGATGTAAGGTTTAGAATACATTTTAAGACCAAACGCAAAAATCAACCATGTCCAAACATAACCCAACACACCCGAGCTCTAGGACAAGTAAACCATGCACCAAAGCAAAGCAGTAAACATAAAACAAGAAAGGAGTACCATACAACATCAATAAGCTAACACACTACCTCTAAATTTGTCCTGGAAAAGAGAAGTCTTTGCATGCCTTTGACTCTCATCAACAAGCGTGTTCTCGAGGTCAACTTTTTCTGCCTGTGTTTAGTGAACAAAACATTGTTCAAAGATCAAGTGTATAATTCACAATTATGGTATTAGTCCTAGACAAATCTAAGAGTAATTATATTTGGATGATTACTCCTAATTACCATCTAAAGTGGCTAAACAGTTAAAGAGAGGCATTTTGGTCTGTGAGGTTGAGGGTCCAACGTCCCTTTTCCATATATGCGAAAACCTATTTCCGCAAAAAGTGAAGTTCACACTGCCAGAACAAATGCAAATAAATAGATGACATCCTCTATATAGTTGGTATGTATACGAATCAAGAAAGATTCTAGGTTCCTAGCTAGTTTTCTCTGGTACACGAAATGACCAAAAGCAGAAACTTCGTACTTCCAGCTTTATGAATTGAATGAACATGGCTAATTTTCTCAGTTGGGGGGGGGGGGAGTCACTGATCAATAGGGGCACCTAGATTTTCTCATAACTACAAAAGTAACTGCAAATCCAACATAAGACACTACCCTCTCATGTTCTATTTAGAAGGCATATCATGGTGATTCTAAATATACTTTACTTTGTATTTTTAGTGCACAATTATTTATTTTCCTCCTGAATTCCCTGTTGATAACTCTAAACATATTCTCCATATAAATGTGAAGGTCATATTAGAAAAGAGTGACAATAATTTTAAATGCTTTGAATCATTTCGTTGGTCATTATAACAGAAAAGCAAAAAAAAATCTTATAATAAGGACCAGAGGGTATATAAGAGTTTGTTGTGCATGCAACAGTACCTAAGTGTCTAGGCCAGATGGCGTTTGTAAGCCCGAAAAGTTAAGAAATAAATTTGCTTGGTAATGCTTGGACCTAAGAAAAATTGGTCAGATTCCTTGAGAACATGGGAAAATTGGTACGGGAATTGAATTCTTTTTCTGAGAAAAGTGCACCTTTGTACTGCTTTCTCAAGAGCTTAAATGAAACGGAAGTGACAAACGCCACCTACATGTAGTAAGGTGGTCGTTAGTCAAACACTTGTGATTCTTTAAAAAAATGGCTCTCACAACAGAGCCCAACAGTGCACCATAGGTCAAAGACCACGTCAATACATATAAACAAATGCTGAAGGCAACAAGATTTAACATTTTGACAAGAAGCACGTGTAACTGTGATAGTGTGTCTCGTTATCTATTGTAGACAAGAGTTTAGGATGTTGTCCCACTACTGCTAGTTCCGCATATGTAAAGCCGCCACATTCATAGTTTCAATAGTAATGAACGCTTCTACAGGAATAACAGGATTCCTACAGACAATGAATTCATCTACTTTTTAAGCATATATGTTCGACCACAAGACTTGACTAATGAGAAGCTGGCATGACTACTGCACCAAGCATAGAAGGGATGTACACTCATATACATACCTCCAACTGCCGCAGTTTGTCAATCAGCTGCAACTCTTTTTGCTTGAGAAGAAGCAAATCTTTTTTCCAAGCTGCAAACGCATTCTGTATAATCTGTTGACTGTCCTGAATTGCAGCTTCACAAACACCCTCCTGCATCAGCCTCTTCCTGAGCTTCTCAGTTGACATGGCCATAGTCTCATTCATTTGGGTGATTAGAAGTTCCTCATTTGGCATCCGAGGGGACATTTCTTTTGCTGCCAACAGTGCCTCTATCCAAGTAATCCGATCATCCCTCGTCTCTGCCCTCAAATGCAGTGTCCTCATCCCAGTATATAATGAAAACCTCCTATCATCTGATTTACTTTCCCTCACAGATGACACCTATAAACACTGCACTAGTTACAACATGAATAGTTTAACTCCAGCTAAACTGGATAAGGAACACCTTCAAAATAAAACATGACAAAACCACCCACATTGCTTATTATTGTGAAAATATGATGTATTATTTCAGTATTTAGCTGGTAGGAACAATTTAAAAATGTGAAAGTATCTAGTCCCCATTATAATAGATGCATGGAGTTTCAGGTGGATGGAGCTCTATCATCACATTTGATTAGATCAGACATGTATCTATCCTAGTGCATGGCTTTATGGCCACTTATTAGACCAATTAAGTCATTTTTCCTGACTACTTTCTAAAGTAATAGTACCTTTGACAACCGAATTCTGATGAACCGTTTTGAGCATGTAAATGCACATAATTACACTTGAAGCTCGGGAGAATTCAAATCCAATGTAAATAAAGTACGGCAGAGAATCAATCACCTTAAGGTGGATTTCTCCACAGGGTTTGCGGCCGAGGGATTTGGAAGAAGCGGGACTTTGAGAACAACTATTGATTCGGCGAAACGACTTCTGACCGATAACCATGGAACCTTTTTCGGTCTGGTGATTGGTGACAATCTTACGGGGCCCGTGAATTTTGTAATAGGAAAGCACGCCGTCCTGGAGGACGAACCATCGAGGCCGCCATCCTCTCCCGTAATTCACCCATTTGTACAGTATTCCGGAGATTCCATTCCCCGCCGTCTGGTTAATCCTCACCGCAAGAAGCGTGTTCTGAGGAGACGAAGTGCGGTGACCGTCGGAGACGGAACGTAATTTGAGCTGAGCTCGCCGCCACGGCGTGGCGGATGCGGAGGATGAGGGAGAGGACATGGCGAGGGAGGTTGCTGACCGCGGACTGGGTTGGGGAATGGTTAAAGGATTGCGCGTAGTAGTATCGCAGCAGAAGGAATACATAAGCTTTAATGAGAGGAAGAAACGAATCATTTATTGATGGATGGAAATGACACTGTTCAGGCAAAGAAAGAGAAGAGAGCTCTTATATGTCCAAGCTTTATGCGCTCTGTAGGTGGCGGTTTACCGGAAAAAACGGCTTCTTTCAAATATATTGTGGTATTCAACTTTCCAATTTCAGTAAATAAATATGAATTATTGTTCTTTTTTCACTAATCAATTATTCCTTGATTCATCTCCAATTTAATTAGGATAACTTTTTTATGTGCGTGGTTGTAGTAATATAATAAAAACTTGAACCCCTATATTGCACGGCATAATTCGTATAAAAAGTAATTCATTTGATAAACTAAGTAGTGAATTTTAGTATAAAATTAAATTGAAAATATAAAAAAGTGTAGGAAATTAATAAGTCGTAATTAATAAATGATAACTTACATTTCAAATTACGACTACATAGATATATTTATTAATGAAGATGAATATTTTACCAAGCCAAAGATAAAAACAATTGAAACATGCACAATGATTATTTCACTAGCTTAATCAAAATTGATATCATATAGATATGTTAGTCTTGTCATTATAGAAATATGTTTAGCATGAATTCTTAAAATAACATTAGACTTGAATATCGCTTCCATATCTTGTACGGTATGGAAATAAAGAGACTGTTTGACAACACTATTTTTCGTCTTATCGTGCGTTGAATTGTGTAATAAGCAGAAAAAGTAAGGTTCAAGTTACTTTTCTGGTTGTGTTGGCTGAAGTTACTGTAGATGACCATTTTGGCTATTTTTACATATAATTTTTTCTTTATTTTATTAATAAAATGTATTTTAAAAATATTTTTTTCTTAAATCAGCATAATGCAGCCACTTCAGCCAGAACTTCATAAATTTCAGCAGAATCAGCCTAACTAGCCAACACAATAAGGCTTAGAAATAGAGACCTTGATAAAGGTTTGGAGGTGGCTATGGATGATATCACAGTTGACAAGGATGGGGATTTGCCTAGCCAATTCCAAGGGGATGTGGATTACCAACCTTCGGCCGAGACCTCTTCTACTCAAGTGATGGAGGAAGACTTAACATCTATGGAGAATGAACATTCAATTGTTGATAAGGAACCTACAAATGATGAACCCAAAACTGAGGACCGTGACAAAGGTGGTGATGTTGAAGCTCAAATTGTCAAGCCATTGGTGGAGATGGTAACAAATGAAGAACCTCTTATTGAAGTAGAAGAAGAGGAGGGTACTACACCTATTGTTGAAACCATACTCTCTTTGGAGAATGACAAGCCTAATGATGATGGCACCAAGGAACCCGAGGCAAGAAAGGATGATACACCTATTATGGAAACCGAGACCTCCTCTTCTGGTGTCATAGAGCCAATGCCAAAGATCAAGCCATGGACTTCTCCATGGACCTCTCTTTTCAAGGACAATAGAGAACCATCTAAAGGAATGAAGTTGAGGTATATTGAACCGGTTGGGGGCTACATTGTCTTTCAAAGAGGATAATGCCATCTATAATAAACCTATGGGGCTTTTGTTTGGTGGGCTATTTCGTGGGCAGATTCCCCGGGATGAAACCCATACAAGAACTAGTTGCTAAGTGGGGAGTTCAATGCCATATTAGGCAACATGACCAAGGATGGGTTATATTCCGATTCAAGAGTGAAGAAGCTGGATCAAAAGTGCTAATGGAGGGACCTTACTCTCTCTTTGGCAAGTCTCTTTATTTGAAAACACTTTCGGAGGACTTCTCTTTCAATAGTGAGGAGTTTTTGAACGTGCCTATTTGGGTTAAGTTTCCATACCTTCCAATGCAAGTGTGGGATGAGGAGATAATAAGCGAAATTGCTTCTAGGGTGGGTGTCCCTCTCACAACCGATAGGATTACACAAGAAAAGGCAAGATCTAACTTTGCTAGAGTATTAATTGAGGTGGATGCCTCAAAGCCCCCCCCCCCCCCCCCCCCCCCCCCACGGCTGGAGGTTAAAATGCCCAATGGAAAATTTCATATACAAAAAATGATATATGAAACTTATCTGAACTATTGCTTCCAATGTAAGACCTATGGCCATCATTGCTTCACTTGTAAGTTCCTAGCCGACATGGAACAAAAGGAAAGAGAGGCTAGAAAGAAGCCAATGGAGGAAGGTGAGCCCCAACCTAAGCTGCTCGGGGAGGTCACCAATGACGTGGCTTTGGAAGGGATGGGATCCGAGACTATAGTGAAGGAGGTCGCGGTCTTACAAGGGGATGCCAATGTTTTGAGAAGAGATGCAGTGGTCTTAAAAGGGGCTGACCATGGACTGAAAACGGATGCCGCGGCCACAAAGACTACTACAAATTAAAAAAAACGGGGGGGGGGGGGGGGGGGGGAACTCACCCTTTCCTAAAGGTGACTAGACTGAGGAAGAAATGCCGAACACAAAGCAAGGTAGGGATACCAAAACAAATGCAAACTAAACATGGAGAGGAGGAATACCAACCAAGGCGGATAAGGTCTTTCAAAGATTTCTTTGATGATGAGGCAATTGTGAGCAATGAAACGGATGAAGTGCTAACACCTACAATCAAAGTCATGCATCTTGATGATATAACCGAGCCTACTATTAGGCTTAACCTGTCACGCCCCGAACCTACCAGACACGTCAACAATCCGCCGTACAGTACGAATAGTCAACCGGAGTCCAACTCATTCATACTATACTAGGTGTCTCGAATACCATTCACACATAGTACATCCATAAACAATCATAATGTAAAATATTAATTTAAGCAGTGGAAACATTAATACAAGTGTTCAAGCCACACGTGGAAAACATGGGCATACAAGCCCCCAAATAATTATTCAGAAAGTAATATCCATGAGCATTTAACATAATTGTTTTTTTTTAAAACAGATACGGAGGAAGCACGAACCACGTCTTCTCTCCTTGGATCTTCCCGGAGCAATGGGCGATGGTAGCAACCTTCAAGTTCAACCTGAAACTGTGAGGTGGTCTCCCCCGTGAAGGGAAGGTCAGTACTTGGAAGCATTTGACAAGTACAATGACAACGTTACTAAGTATAATCAATGTTTCAACTTCTAAGACCCTCAAACAGAGTGATATTATTTTATAGGCCATAACCCTTGGTTACCCTCTTTTAAAATATACTTATTTTATATATAAAGTCAAGTAGTCGGCCCGTAGGCCCATGTTTACTTTGAAAACGTTCAACTCATTCCCCCGTGGCTTCAAGCCACGCTCATCTATATTACTTCGTCATGCTAGAGGCTTCCTCTAGTCGTGTTTTATCGTGCTAGAGGCTTACTCTAGTCACTCCACTTGGTGTTAGATGCTTCCTCTAATCACCTTACATACGTTGTGCTAGAGGCTTCCTCTAGTCACCTTACGTTATGTTAGAGGCTTTCTCTAGTCATCTTAGATTACGCTAGAGGCTTCCTCTAGTCGTTCTATATTAATGCTAGAGGCTTCCTCTAGTCATTCTTTATCGTGCTAGAGGTTTCCTCTAGTCATGATGTTAATTCACTAAGCAAGTTCTATGCCTAGAGTTTCTCTTATTATGGGTAGCCTTTGAGACCTACCCCTATCATGAATTAGCGCTTACTCGTTCCTACCTTAAAGTATCTTATAAGACCACTTAAGGTACATCTTCCACAATCCAAGCCCCTTAGGATTTGTTCTATCACTTTTTATACTAACCTTCCGACTAATATTTCAATACTAGTCAATTAATCTTAGGACAATGATAGCCGTTATATTTACCTGTGTTTAACATAAGTATTTATAAGTATTTGTTGAAGAAAAGAAGAGAAATCAGGCAAATACCTCTAGAATGAGAGCTAGAGCATAAAACATTGCGATGCAGGGCTTTTTGGACCAAGAGAATGACGTTATGTCCATAATTCGAGTGTGACGTATTGTAGAGAACTCGAAATCACTCGATTCGAGTTTCATGTGAATGCTAACTCAATAAGGTACAAATGTTATGAAGACGTCATGGCCAAAATATGAAGGGAACAAGACTCAATCAACCAACAAAGTCAGATGTTGCTGGTGGGATTTCAGGATGCATACCCCTCAGTGTTTTATCCATATCGTTTGATTGGCTGAATAAAATCACGTCATTCAAGTTTTGGTGGATAGAAGACTTCATTAGATACAACTTTGATGAAGGGCTCATGTCCAAATTCGTAGCGGAACATCCCCAAAATCCCAGGACAAAACCGGCGCCGGAATTTCACCAAACCGGCGCCGGTTGCATTTAATCCGTTATTCTCCCGGTCGGCCGAAGTATAACCGGCGCCGGTTTTACCCTATAACCGGCGCCGGTTATGGTGTTTTTTACTACTATTCCATCCCCGAAGTAAAACCGGCGCCGGTCAAGCCTAAAACCGGCGCCGGTTAAGTCCGAATCTGCATAAAACACAAAGACGTGCAGCCATATTTTGATGGGAAAACTCCACTTTCCTTATGATCTGATCAAATATATCTTCCATGCCTGATTGTTGGGCTTGAATAGACTAAAAGATGCCAATCTTTAGCCTATATAAAGCCCCCAATTCATTAAACAAGATCATCATTCCATTCTTGAAGATTAAATTTCAGTTTTTATATTTCCTTTTTGCATTTTCTTGAAGTGTTGGAGAAGAAGCCATTTCTCTCCTCTACAATTGGTTCTAGGTATTATTTCTTGTATGTTATTGTATTTCATTGTTCTTAGTTACACTTTTGTAATTAATATGAGCATTAGAGGCTAAGTTCTTAGCTAAGGCTAGGGATGAACTTCTATGCCCACTAGGTGTTTGATAAAAGTTCTAAACCAATAAATTGTGATTTATCCTTTACATTTTGATTGTTTATGACTATGGTGTACAACATAGAAGTATGCTAAACTTAGTTTATGCTTGCAATTAACGTTGAGGTCTAAACTATGAACATTAAAGGATAAACATATATATTACCGAGAATAGAAATATATCCGGTATTATATGATACGGGTGTGATGTCTTGATATTCAACGGGGTTTTCGGTAGATGAATGTAAGCCGTAACGGGACTTACACGTAACGAAAACCACGCTCTCGCTGCCTTAAAT